CATATATACATATGCATATATATACACATACATATAGACATATGCATATATACACACATATATACATATGTATGTATATACACACATACATATAGACATATGCATATATACACACATACATATATACATATGCATATATACACACACATACATATATATACGCATATATATATACACACATTCATATATACATATGCATATATATACGCATACATATGCATATATACACACACATACATATATATATGCATATATATACACATCAATATATACATATGCATATATACACGCATACATATATACATATGCATATATACACACATATATACATACGCATATACACACACACACACATACACATACATACCACCACCTTTTGGTTAATAGCTGAACATTTAACTGTCTGCACCATCCAGGAGCTCCCATTAGGGGAAGTACACAAATACCCAGATCTACTGCCATCGAGTCCGTTCTAGCTCATAAGGACCCTCCATTGAGAGTCCAAGACTAAAATCTTTAATGCAGGAGACTCCTCGTCTTTCTCCCTCTAGGTAGCTGGTGGATTTGAACTGCTAACCTTTTGATTAGCAACCTGATACACTACATGCTACACCAGCAGAGTTCCTTACTGGGAATGGAGGGCAGGTGAAAATTAAAATGAGGAAGAAGGATAGCATCAGGGCATTCATTGATCATGGAACCTGTTTGGCTGCATATAAGAATCATATGGCAGCTTTCAAAAAATACTGTTGGGGTTTTATCCCCAACCAATTAAATTTGAAACAATGGAGATGCACCCTGGGCATCTGTTTTGTGTTTTTGTTATTGTTTGTGTTTGGGGCTTTTTTTTTTTATAGCTCCTAAGTGTTTCTAGGAACCAATGAGTAGGGTAGCTAAGTTATTTTATTTTAGGGTAGCTAAGATGAGATTTTACAGAATCATCCATATATATAGCTATACAGGAGGAGATGCTTTTAAAGTGGGGAGACTTTGGATGCTGCCTATAGTAGAGATGCTTCAAGAGTGAAGCATGGTAGTCACATGGGCCTGGAGACACTAGGTCTAGAACAACAAGTGAAGTTAAACTTCTCCAAAGGGTGGGTCTAGCTTTAATAACTGACTACTGCTCATGTTTCATGTAAACAAAACAAAGCAGAGGCAAATGGGTCAGCAGCAAAAGTAGGACTTTAATTCCATTCCACTGGCATTTATTTATTAGTGTTTTCAAAAGGCAACACATAGGGAGCGCTGGTGGTCTGGTGGTAAAGGAGCTGCACTGCCAACCCAAAGGCAAGTGGTTCAAATCCACCAGCTGCTCCACAGGATGAAGATGGGCAATCTCCTCCCGTTTGATTTACAGTATCTGAAAACCCAATGGACCAACAACTATGGATCAGTTCCAAGTTGACATCAACTAGATGCCCAAGGGCTTAGAGGCCAGGGATGATAGGAGCAACATCTAAAGGACAGTCTGAGCACAAGGAAAAATATTTGGGGCCATTTAGGAAGTTACCTTCTTCAGCAGGTGACCAGGAATCATGGCATCAACCTTGAGGGCAGGGAAAATTACAAAGACAAAGGCATCACAGCCTGTGGGAACAGATTAGAGGCTCACAGTGCAATAAATGGTCAAGAGTCTAGTTTTGGAAAGGACTGAGATTCTATAGATCCCTCCCTGCCTCTGGCTGGGGGACTTAAAACCAACTGAGGCAGGACCAAGAGCAAGGACCTACTGGGCCACATCATTCAATCTTCACTTATGAGAACTGTTTTCTCTGTGTGTCTGTCTACCACTATGCCAACTTCAATTGCCCCCTTTTCCTAAAAATTAAAAAAAAAATCTGATCTTATACAGTATGAACCTGAGCAAAAACAGAGTCATACACAGGTAACCCAAAAAAGTCAAAGCCAACAGAGCACCCCAAAAGCCGGATCTGATGGTGACATATCTGCTGGCAGGCAGCAGGCCAGAGAAGCAAGCCACCAGCAGCTGTGATTGTTAAAGATCTAGATAGAAGAAAATGGGATGTTGGGAAAGAAGGACCAATCAGCAGTGCAAACACTTTGCTTCCACTTATATGTTGGAACTGTCACTGAGACAAAGGGAGAAGAAAAAGAAAAGGATAAAGAGCTGACAAAACAAGAATGATGGACAAATATAGGAGAGGTCCATTCAAATGTGAATCTCTAACATCCTTACATGAATGGACAAGAGCAGTGCCTTATTCATTTCTAATATCTCCCAAGCAGCCAACAGAGAGCTTTTAATTATGTGCATTAATAATATACATGTCAAGATGAATGGCAAAGCCCTCCCCTGCAGTCCTACTCCCATAGTCACAACCCTAACCATATGAAGTTCTTTTTTCTCTCTTTCCTAAGCCCCTCCTGCTGCAGTTTCACCCCTAACTTGCCAGGGAAGGGATGGAGACAAAGACCACATTTGAACTTTTATTTGCATCTTTACTATGTCAGGATTTCTGATGCATAGCAAGCATCATAGCAAACAAGAAAAAGCTGGACAAAGACTAGGAATGATAGCAAAAGAACTGTGACCTTTGAGCTGTGGTGCTGGAGAAGAGTGCTGAATACATCATGGACTTCAAGGAGAACAAACAGGTTCATCCTAGACAGGATGAGACAAGGCTGCTCCTTGGAGGCAAGGATTCTGAAACTTCATCTGACATACTTTGTGCATGATGCAAGGAAGGACCAGTCCTTGGAGAGGGACGTCATGCTTGGGAGGGTGGAGAGACAGCACAAGAGAGGAAGGCCCTTGATGAGATGGATTGATTCAGTGGCTGGGCTAATGAGGGGTAGGTGTGTCAGAGACAAGACTGGCACAGGATAGAGCAGGGTTTAGGGCTGGTGTACACAGGGTCACTATGAGTCACAGGCGACTCAACGGCACATGAACAACAACAACAACAAAACTGTGTCAAGTAACTAATTCCCACAATCCTCAATTTCTTTAATATTCCAACTGCTTTTTTTTTTTTTTTTCATTTCTCTAAATCATAACATTCTTTGCTCAGGTGACTTTGGGTTATTTCAACAATCCATCTATTTGGCATGTTCTGATCAACCCAGTCAGGATAGATGAGGAATGCTGTCCCGTGAGCGATGCTGCCCATCCCTGCTGCAGACCGAGGAAGAGAAGCCAAGGTTCCCGAGCCCTCCTACCGGAGAATCCTCTCGAACTCATCCCGGTCCCGTTGCACTTGAACAGCCAGAAAGTGCTCCTTGAGAGCCACCTGTTCCAGCCGACTCTTCCTCAGCATGGCTTCGGTTTCTTTCTTCTTCTGTGCGTTTTCCTTTTCCTTTCTGCGCCACTCTCGGTCAGCGGCCTCCTGGTTGCGCTTGGCCCGCAAGGCATCCTGGGATAGGAGAGAGTGGAGAAGGGACAGGTGAGGGTGCGGAGTAACTGGCAGGTGCCCACCAGGTCCTACCTGCAGGCTCTGAGAGTCTCCCTTAACTTTCCTTGGCAGCAAATTATTCTAGAGGGGAAGCGGGACTGATTGGAATGTTGCCCTAGAACCTTCAGGTCAGAAGGTACCCTGGGGGGCACTCTGTCCTTCCACCCTACACTTCCCAATTCTTTTCCTGAACCTCAGACACCTCAGGGCAATTGCTTCTAATTTTAAAAACTGCTAATGATAGGAGATGCCACCCTTTCCTCTAGTGATACATTTAAGTGGTTGAGGGGGAAAGTTCTTCTTTGGGTAGCATCCAAAGACTTTCTCTTCAACCATAAGCACGTAATGCACTTGCTGTCAGAGACAACAAACACAGGCCCACTATGTAGCCCTCAGACTCCGAATTCTAGATTAATGGAGCTTCTTCTATTCCTACCCCTTCCTAGACAGGCTATCAAAGGACCAGTTAGGAGGGTGAGAGAGGAGAAGGAAGCTGAGTTTAAGTAGACAGGTACCTGTTCTGCCTGGTAATCCTGGGCCTTTTGCTGCATGGCCCTCAGCTGGGCGATCTCCTTCTCTTTCTCCTTCCTGATCCTCTCCTGCTCAGCCTCGTATGCTGCTTCTCGAGCCTGCCAGGAAGAAAAGATCTTGTAGCTAAGAGTATCCATTTACTCAGCCTTTTAAGGAGTCCCAGGTCGCAGAAAGGGCCAAACACCCGATTCAAGCTGAAAACATGGAAGGTCAAACCCAACCAGAGGCACCTAGAAAGAGAGGCTTGGTGATCTGCTTACAAAAAGTCCTTAAAAAATTCTATGAAGCAGCAATAAAGTAAAACCTTCTATGAAGCAGACAAAAGGATGAGTGGAAACAAGAATCACAGGAAAAGAAGTGGAAAGAGTGTGGTTGTACTGAGGGCATGGTAATTAAGTTATAATACAAAATGTTTATGAATGAGAGACCGTTTTGCTTTGTAAACTTTCACTCAAATCACAATTTTTTTTTAAATCACAATTTTTAAGAAGTGAATGTAAATGTTTTAAAATCTCACAAATTCTATGGTCCAATTTTATTCTGTGCACATGGTCCTGCAGAGAGAAACAAAATCCCTACTATCTCTCCTACCGCTTCCTGGCTCCTTTTAAGATGGGGCAAAACTGAATACTTAAACAAGAAACATTATCTGCAGAATATTTCACTCTTTACAAATTGGCTTACACACACATTATCTGAGAGGGCCCTTACAACATCTCATCAGAGAGAGATGATAGATGAGGAAACCGGTGTTCGGGGAATTGATTTCTTTCCCAGTTGCATAGCTGGTAAATGGCCAAACAGAATATGAATGCAGACGACCTGAGTCCAAATTTCTTCCTTCTTTCCACTATCTCACAGACCACTTCAAGCTGCAAGGCCACTGGGCCAAGTTCCTAAAAGTAACAGTTGTGGTTCTCTGACTTCCTTAGAAGGCACAGCAGGTAGAGGTTATCTCATTAGTCCCTGGGCAAAAGGCCAAACATGCTTTGGGCAATCCCAGTGTTTAGCAGATACCTAGGAAGTGAACCATCAAAATTAACTCCTTTTACCACGTCTTTCAGCCACCCATCTGTCAACTTGTTGTACTGTGGTGATTTGTCTGGTGCTGTGAGGCTAAACACTATGCCAACAGTATTTCAAATATTAGCAAGGATCACCAATGGTAGATAGCTTTCAGCAGAGCTCTCAAACTAAAAGAGACTAGGAAGAAAGGCTTGGTGATCCACTTCTGAAAATTGAAGAGTGGAAGTCTGTGGGTCACAACAGAATGCTGTCTGACATGGTGTTGAAAGATGTGCCTCCTGGGTTGAGAAGTGCTCAAAACCCAAGGTGGCCACAAAAGTGAACTCAAGCACACCAATGAAGCTGGCACAGGACCGGGCGATGGCTCCTTCTGTGGTGTGTGAAAACACATGAGTCAAAGGTGACTCAGCGGCAACTAACAACAATCATTTCTCTAAAATAAAAGGTATATCCTTAAAAACATCTCAAGGCCAGCTTCCCAGCTACCATTCCTGAGTAGTCATAAGACTAATGGAGCAGATGACATCGAAATGAGGTTTTCCCATGAACAACATTCCTCAGCTCCTCGTTCTACCTGCCCAGACTCCGTCAACCTAATGAGTGCCCTGACTGTGAGCCACACACGGCTGTGTGTCAAGCTGGTCTCTCTGTTTCATTTCTTTCTGGAGACAGGGAAGGGAACTTTGGATACTTCCACAACCAATCTCTGCCTCTGTGTCTGAAACGGAAGGCCTGGCTTCAAGAATCGAGTCCACTGTGAAGTCAGGGGAGGATCTGTGATAACGCGGATGTAGGCACGCCCAAATGTTTCAGCCCTTTGTAGTCTTCCGCCTCTCGCCTCTCGCAGCTCCACCGTGCTGATGTCCTTCCCACGTATAAAGACAAGATAGTCCTCTCCTGTTCAGAAATTTATGGTGATTTCTCATCAACCTTTGCATCTAGCTCTACTTAAAGTTCAAGTCATCTCCAACAAGTGCTTTTAGTTCTCCATCCTCTCACCACCCTCTTTTCATATTGTATCCACCACTGGCTGCCATAATTAAAAAAAACCTGCTCTCCAACTCCTGCAGGTTCAGCTTATTATTACCACCTTCACCACTTAGGGAAATAATGACTAAGTTGCTTATGATGTACATAGTATTATTTTAGGGTCAACGTAGAAAAGGAAGACCCTCAACAAGATGGACTGGCACAGTGACTGTACCAATGGGCCCACGTACATGGGATATTGTGAGGATGGCACAGGTGAAGACAGGGTTCAGTCCAGTGTTCATAGGATCGCTGTAAGCTACAGTCGACTCAACAGCACATAACAACAATCTCTTTCAGGGAGTTCTGGTGGCGTAGTCCATATGGAGTTGACATCTCTGTGCTGGTTCAAATCCATCAGCAGCTCCATGGGAGAAAAGTAGGCAATCTCCTGCCATGTAATTTGTTGTTGTTGCTGTTAAGAGCTGTACTGAGGTAATTTAGGATTGCTGTGATACTGAACCCTGTGGCGTGGGTTTGTCAAATGCCCTAACAGTTATCCATGCTGGACAGTATTTGGTGGAGCTCCCAGATTAAGAAAGGTTTGGAAGTGGAGTGGCATCTACTTCTTAAACAACACGCCTCTGAAAATTCTATTAACTTAGAGAAACAACGATCGCCATAGGACAGGGTTAAGGTCTCTTGTTCACAGGGTCGCTATGAGTCCTGTAATTTACAGCCTCCCCATATGCCGCTGGAGCCTGAGCTACAAGTTGATTCCAACTCAACAACAATGAGTTTTGTAAGCTCTTTGAACTTAGTCTGTTCCCAGACATACAATGAAGAAGTCAATATAATTCTAATCAATTATGATGTCCTTCACAGGGTTGTTATAGGATTAAATGAGATAACGAATGTATAACACTTACAGCGCCTGTGCACAGACTAAATGCTCAATAAATGGCAGTTACAGCAACATATGTACAAAACATCTGTGTCTCCGATCTTGCTTTTTTTATTCTATTGCCTGCGTATGCTAGGCATCCAATAAAAAAAAGCCAAAACCAAAGAAAATAAATCAAGTTTTGAGCTTTATTTTCTTTGGCTTGCACTGAGAATAGATCTATCAGATATGCCTTTCCAAATTACACCCATACCGTCTCCGTGCTCTGTGCTAAGACTCAATCCTACACTGGTGCACAAAGAAGTAGAAAGTGGGTTCTGTCAACACAGGACTTGGAAACCAGCAGAAGGGAGAAGACTAACACATGGGGTGTTTGATAACCTTCCTGCCACCCTGGGGACTTCTTTTTCTCTTCATGTAAGTTCATGCTCATGCCATCTAAACTGTACTAACGCCTCTTTCTGCAGCCCATTCTCCGAAGATTCCAATCATTTCACTACTCAGTTTGACCCAGAAGAAGCCTCACATTCCTGAGCTTCATCCACCCATGACAGTTTGTAGGTGTCCCTCTTCTCCAGGATGGAGGAGGAGGATGTGTTTTCTGAGTCTAGCATCTAATACAGGATGACCAATATGGGAGTTTTCACACAAAATTCACAGGGTAGCTGACTCATAATTACTGGGATATAATTATCCAGGTCACGACAGATCTACAAAAACTTCACTTTCACCAATACTTTTCATTTCCCCCCACACACCTGCATATGACCCTCCTCTCAACTTCTAGTCAAAGGTGTTAACAAGGGTAATAAAAACACTAATTTAGGTGTCCTTTTCTAGGCTACTTTCTGCTACTGAGCAAATGAACTAGGCATGATAAAGAGAAAATAGGAGAAGTCCTTGAACTTAAGGCCTAAATTTTTTTTTAAATTGTGTGTGTGTGTGTGTGTGTGTGTGTGTGTGTGTGAGTACCATCAAATTGGAGGAGTTTGTCCCTCCTCCAGCAGAGCATCTGGTAGATTTGAACAGCACACCTCTGGGATTGCAGTGCAGCTTCTTGCCACTAAGCCACCAGAGCTTGTCCAAAGGCTTGAACTTTAGGATAAGGAAATGACTGCCCTCCATTGGCGCTCCCTTAGTTCTCACACCTACCTCTCCTGCAAACAGACAGACAGATACATCCCACTGCATTCAGAAGTCCCAAGGCATCAGAACCAGATCCCTACCATTCTCTTCTTGGTAAACTCCATCACCATCTGGTCTGCCAGTTTTTCCTGTGCCAGCAGCTGTGCTTTTTGTTTCTGATTTTCATCATTGATGCGCTTAATTTCGGCTTGCATCTTCAGCATTTCCTGGTGCCTTCGTTCCAAGTCCTACCAGGAAGAAAAAAATATATACAGTTTCTGAATAGGAGGTAAGACAGAAAATGCTGGCTGACAGAACAGATAAACACTGATAAGGGACAGGGAGACATATATACTGCACACAGTCTGGCTTCATTACGACCCTTTGTTAAAGTTGTTCTTTCAAGGGTCAAGGACCTCTTAAAAACAAATTACTTTTTCTAGCCATCAATTTCATCTTGTCTGTATCCAAAAGCAACACCTGTGGCACCAGTAGTTAAAAATCAAAAGATATCTTGCATTGAACAAATTTGTTGTCAAGACCTAAGGTGCTAAGAAGCAATGATGTCAGTTTAAAGACTAAGGAGCAACTGACACAAGCTATGGTCATGTCAAATACCTGTTATGCATCTGAATTTTGGCCAGTGACTTAGGATGACAGACAAAGAATCAACGTCTTTGAGTTGTGGTGTTGGAGAGGAGAGTACAGAATATCCCATGGACTGCCAAAAGAAACAAATGTCTTAAGAAAATGCAACTAGAGTGCTCCTTGAAGGCAAGGATAGTAAAGGTCTGCACCTTGTTAGAAGGGGCCAGTCCTTGGAAAAGGGCATCAAGCTTGGAAAGGTGGAGGATCAGCGAAAGAGAAGAAGACCTTCCAGGAGACGGATTGAGACAATGACTGTAACAGTGGGCTCAAGTGTATTGGAGATGATGAGGATGGCACAGGACAAGGTTAAGATACCTTGTTCACGGGGTTGCTACGAGTCATAGCTGACTCAATGACACCTAACAACAACAGCAGTCTTCATTCTTAGTGGAACCTGATTCTGTTGACCTGTACGTACTATTCAGGAAGTGGAAGCTCTAAGAAATCTACTCCATGTCTCCCATGTGTCAGGTTAAAGCCTATCCCTGAGGCTTTGTTCGCTCTACCTTCCTTCTACTTTAAATTTCCTTCCACTTAAACCCAAACTTTGTCTCTATTCAATAGTGATAGTTCAAATAAATACTGTCCTAATTGAGTGTGTTCTATTTATTAGAAATTTTATATCTCTGTTATCCAAATATATACAAAACTCTGGAAGGCAGACTTTATTATCACTGTTGTTCAGAGGAGGAAATTGAGTACCAGACTTTGTTATTGCTCTTGTCTGAGGAAACGGAAGCTCAGGATCACACAGCTAATAAATTCTATAGCCAAATTTTTTGAAATTTAGTCTTCTCTGACTTAAAACTCCAACTTCCCCAGAAAAGCAATGATCTCAACTTTGATTAATTGCTCCACTTCTGGGTTCTCTCGGCATTTAAGTTGTTGCCATATCAGTGTATCCCTAGATGCCAAGATTCCTTTTTAAGCCCCTTGCCCTACCCAGTTCTGGGTCTCAAAAATCTGTTGTTCAACCCTTTCATGATTAAAGCACTCAACAAAATAGGATTAGAGGGGAATTTCTTCAACATAGTAAAAAGTATCTATGAAAACCCAAGAGCCAACATTGTTCTTAATGGAGAGAGGTTAAAGGCATTCCCTTTAAGAACA